GCAACATGATGCTGTTAGCACCATGGTCTTGTTAGCAACATGGTGCTTTTAGCAACATGGTGCTTTTAGCAGGACCCGTTAGCAGCTTGATGATAACGACCACAGCAGCTGCCCTCCAGAACTGGGTTCGACAGACACAGAACATCCAGGGTTTCCCTGCGGAAGCTGCTTCTGGTTGAAGCTCAAAGGAGATTGGACTTTTTCAGTCGTGGACCCTGAACTCTGGAACACTCTGCCCCCTCAACATCAGACCGCCCCGTCACTTCCTGTTTTTAAATCTCTGCTGTAAACTCACCTGTGTTCACACACATTGATCTGATTTAGTATTCTATTTAATTTTCAGTACAATCCTTTTTATGTCGTCCATTAAATTACAGCCACAGATTTCTATTGTTCAGCACGTTGGTAACAGTTTGAAATGTGCTTCATGAATAAAGTTGATTTATCTGACGTTTCTTTTGGGTCCAGCCGGTTCCTCCCGACTCTTTTGTTGAAAAGGAGGCGGACAGCGGTCCAGACGGTGACGAGGCTGCGAGCAAAGACGTGAAATCCAAAGTAAGTTCTGGTGTCTTGTAAATGTTCAGTGGTTTCTGCTCTGCTGATGTCACTTCCTGTCGTTGTAGTTGCCTCTCAGAGCGTTGAGTTTTTCTGTTCACTGCACACGATGGTTTCTGTCCTAGCTGCTGTTTGTTAATGATCTCCAGGCTGAGCCTCACAAGACTGCTCGCTAACTTCTCTCCCTTTAAGACTCGTTCACGCCACCACACTGCGTCCTGTGCTGTGTCTTGGGTGCATTCAGGTTCCAGGAAGTGAGGAGGAGGAGGAGGATGAGGAGGAGGAGGAAGGGTCTCTGATGTCTGAGCAGGGTCTTCAGAACCAGGATGTACGTACGTTGCATGCTGGTGCAGGTCATCTCATGGAAAGTTCCACTCGATGGCTTTTCAGTCGGTGCTTCTCCTTCCTGTTGGTTCAGCTTCTTGTTTGGGTCGTGATGTTTCGACTGAAGTGTCTGGTTGGGGTTTGCTGCTGGGCTCACCTGCAGCCGAACAGATTTACACGAGTTCTTTCTGCGTGGTTTTTACTAAACGTGATCCAGGATCAAACGTCTGTCGTCGTGAAGAGCCGTAAAAACATCTGGCTCAAATTTTTCTTCTGCTTCACCATCTTCTAAAACCTCTGTGGCGTTTTACATTTCCTGCTTTTTCACCATCTGTTGCATGATTTGACAGTTTTATCATTTTTTACTTGGTGAAAAAAGAAGTTTTGACATTCATGATGCCAAAACAGGATTCCTTTAGTTTTTAGACTCACGGTAAGTATAACGTTTATTTTCCATCTCGTTATCAAAAGCAGACGTTTATTGGCTGCACTTCTCCAGATGAACACTAGAGGGAGCTTTAAACTCAGATGAGCTGTCATTGTTTACTTCCTGTTTACAAATCAAACCCACAGCTCTGAATTCTGTCAAACTTTCAGATTTTTGTCCCAAAAGAATCGACCGATGTTTCCAAGTCCAAGAGAGGACGGAAGAAAAAGGTTGGCTCTAATCTGCCACGTCACGTAAAGGTTGGTCATTTCCAATCAGGCTCTAGTTCTGACAGCGTTTTGAATGTTTTCAGAGTGATGCAGACCAGGACAATGACAAGGACGAGGCTCCAGCAAGTCCTGCGAGTCCCTCAGGTAGGCGAGTCGTCTGAGACGTGAAATCTTAGAAACTCACAGGAAAGTTGAGTAAAAGAGTCGAAGTGATGTCATCAGAAACTTTCACCGTGATGGAAGGATGCGTCCAAGTGTGGCAGCTTGGGTTCAGGCGTGTTTTCTAAATGTGTGTGTGTTTATTGAAGCTGATGTTTCTGCTCCGTTTGGGTCAGGTGGAGAAGGTCCTAAAAAAAGAGGCAGGAAGCCCAAAGTTGTTCTTCAGCAGGACCAGCACGGCTCCGGGAGTGAAATGTAAATAAGCGTGAGCTCCTCGTTCCTACAGAGACAAAGTTAAATCAACAGACGTTTGTCAGATTATCAGGGCGTCTGATCCTTAGACGTGTTCAGCAGATTGAAGACGCTTTTGTTTCTTAGAGACACGAGCGAGTCTGATCAAAAGAGAAAGAGGGCGCCGGAGGACAAACAAAGTTCAGAAGAAGACAAGAGAAAGAAGAGAGAAGGAAGTAAAGGGAAGGACGCAGACGAGCCTGAAGCCAAGAAGAAGAAACCGTCCAGGGACGATGGCTCCTCTGGGTCAGACGACGACGAGGCAAGCACTCACACTGACCCCAACATTTTTAATAATAAGTGTTTGTTCTTTTAATGGCTCACATTTATGATTTTACACTTTGTAGTCTCAGAAGAACAAAAGCAGAAAGAAAGTACACAACTCCGAGATGGACAAAGATGGCCGGCGCTGGAAGACCGATGAGCCGAGAGAGTGAGTCAGAATTCAGAGATTTGACTGCTGAACCACGAGAAATTAAAATATCAACTATTCTAGTGAGTGGGTGGGTGGCACCATCGTTTTAATCTGTAGACGATGAACACGTGTTATTTACACATTTGTATCTCCGTCAAGGGCTGGGCGATGTATCAAATATACTCAATGTATCAAATATACTCAATGTTTTGAATATACTCAATGTATCAAATAGACTCGATGTATCAAATATACTCGATGTATCAAATATACTCGATGTAT